TGCAGTTTTGGAGTTGCTCTGACCTAGTTATCTAGCCACAAATCCATATAGATCTCTCTGATGCCAGGATTGTCATCACCAACATCCTTAGGATCAATCGAAGCAAAACAGAGCTTCTTCTAGTTATGGGACTTTAAAGGTGCCAAAAATTGTACTAAAATATGCTCCACTGTGTAATTAATTTTTTACTATAAACATAGTTAAAATAAGTGTGATTTGAACTTAGTGCCATACAGTTTACAGGTATATTAACCACTTGCCTACTGGGCACTTATACCCCCTTCCTGCCCAGGCCAATTTTCAGCTTTCAGTGCTCTCACCCTTTGAATGAAAATTACTCAGTCATGCTAACACTGTACCCATATAAAATTTTTGTCCCTTTTTTTTCTCACACAAATAGAGCTTTCTTTTGGTGGTATTTAATTACCACTGGGGTTTTTTTTTTTTGCACTATAAATTAAAAAAGACCAAAAATTATGAAAAAAATGGGCTTTTCTTAGTTTCCGTTACAAAATAAGTAATTTTTCTTCATAAGTTTTGACCAAAATTTATATACTGCTAGAGTTCTTTGGTAAAAATAACACAAATCCGTGTATATTATTTGGTCTGTGTGAAAGCTATAGAGTCTACAAGCTATGCTACCAATCATTGAACACTGATGGCACCTGATGTACCTCATTTCTCGAGGCACTAACAAGCCAGCACAGTACAAATACCCCGATTACACTTTTAAAGGCTATGCAGCACCAGGACAATGGAATTACCCACAAAATGACCCCAATTTGAGAAGCTAACACCCAAGCGTATAGTCTGAGGTATAATGAGTCTTTTGAACATGTCATTTTTTCCACAAGTTTGCGGAATACATGGAAAGAAAATGAAAACTTTTTTTTTTTTTTTTTTTAACCACAAAGTTGTCCATTTATAAAAAGGTATTTCTAACAAAAAGCATGTAACTAACAAAAATACATTCTGCTACTTGTCCTGAGTATGGAAATACCACGTGTGAGACTTTTTAACAGCCTGGCCAAGTACAGAGGCCTGACATCCAAGTAGCACCGTAAGGTGTCTAGGGACATAAATTACACATCTAATTTCCAGACAACCTATCATTTTTAAAGGCCTTTCATATTTCTAACACATAGCAGGTACATACCAAGAATTAAACCCCCAAAATATATTCTGCTGAGAAAATGGTAAGCAAAGATTACCCGAGGTTTTAGCAGTGCAGTTGTCCACAGAGGAGAGCATTGGTCCAGGCAGCAGGCAGGGACATGGTCAGCAACATCAAAAGCAATTGTCCAGGCAGCAGACAGGTTTATTGTCCATAGTCCATACAGGAAGCAGGCAGAGATATAGTCAGCACAGCCAAACCATTGGTCCAGGCAGCAGGCAGAGATGTGATCAGCACAGCCAAAATATCAGTCCTGGTAGTAGGCAGGAACATAGTCCATGGTACAGGTAGCAGGCAGAGGTGAGATCAGTTCATGTGGCAGGGCAGAGGCATGTTGGCAATAAGTTGGCAGCAGGCAGAAATATCAGGCTTAAGGTCTCGGTCAGGTAAGACCTGGGCACAGGGGTAGAGGCTTCATCCCACCCATCTCTTCAAAGCCTCCAAACAGACCCTTTTCTGGCAATTCTAAAACCTAGAGAAAACCAAAAACTTTGTTTTCTCCACTCCAAAAAACTATTCTGAAGCCACTCACATAGGTGAGACCCCTGTGTTATCTTGAATCCTACTACTACAGTAGCAGGGCAGAAGATCAGTCCAAGTGGCGGGTCAAAAAAGGTGGTCAATTAACAAGCTGAGGTCAGTTCAGAAGGCAGGCAGAAACGTGGTTTGCAATTTAGATGGCAAGCAGAGGCATCTTCAATAAACAGACCAGGGTCAGTTCCAGAGCAGGCAGAGGTATGGTCAGTTTATGCCGCAGGCAATGGCATTGTCAAATAACAGGCTAGGGTCAGTCCAGCAGCAGGCAGAGGCATGAGTGAATGGCAGAAAATTCAGAATTACGTTTACCATACTTTACAAATATTGTAGAGAAATATGGTAACGGCGGAAACAGTCACCTATGCAGAGGCCTGGTTGGGAAGGACACTGAGGACAATAGAAACTGGTGTCTCATCTATCTCTTCTTGAAGCACACCCAACATTTTTTATATATATATATATATATATATATATATATATATATATATATATATATATATATATATATATATCTTTGATCCTCTTTCTCCAGGAGGGACTTTTTTGGGAAAATGGCGTTCGTGGAGTCTGCTCACTGCATCTGAGCGAACACTTTTTGGTGGGGCTTCAGGGTACAAAAGGGGAGTGACTATTTCCTCCTGATAGTGCAGAAAGGACACGAGTGTCTAGGTGGACTTCTGGTAGATCACATATGTATTATAAATGGGCAAATTGAAAAAAAAAATAGAGACTTTTTTTGTGCCAATGGTGGGTTCTTCTTAAAGCAAGGTAGGGCTGGATCATCTGAACACTGAAGCCGGACTCCCCCCATGAACAAATTATAATCATGGACATATTGTGCCATTTCTTCTGGTGATTTGCACGTGGGTGTCATTGTGAATTAATGAGAGCATGCATATGTCTCGTTTGTCCCTCCACTTCATAGCCAATATTCTCTTTGTTCCACAAACTCACCGACTCCCCTCGCTGTAGCCTTGTGTTCACCAGTCTTTGCAGGAAGCCCTTCCTACTAGCTCACATGACGCCACATGCTAGTGTTCTCCTTCGGTGAAGATTATAAGCAAGCTGGTGTAAAAATTATCAATATATAGATAACCCTTTTCAAAGGAGTGGAAATACAAGCTCCCAAACTTTTCCACTTGCTCCAAAGTAATCTGGGCATTCAGGGGGATGCAGTTGGGTGCCCTTTCCTTTGTACACGAGGAAGGCATACACATACCCCATGGCTCTGTTGCAGAATTTATAGTTTAACCTCATATCGGGTCCTTTTGCTGGGGATAAACTGCTTGAAGCTCAGCCTGCCAGTGAATGGGACAAGTGACTCATCCACGCAGCAGATATTTTTGTCCGGAACATATGGGCAAATTTCTCGGAAAAAAAAAAAAAAAAAGAAGTGGACGAAATTTATACAATTTATCATATGCTGGGTCATTTTGGGGAAGGCACTGGGTGTTATCGTCATAATGGAGGAACCGCATGATCATTAGATATCTTGTTCTGGGCATGACTGATGAGTAAATTGGCAAATGATGAATTGGGTGGGTAGACCAGAAGGAGTGTAATTGATTTTTTTTTTGGAGAGTCCCATATTAAATGTGCGGCCCAAAAAGGTTCTAAATTATTATTATACAGGATTTATATAGTGCCAACAATTTGCACAGCGCTTTACAATATGAGGAAGACAGTACAATTACAATACATTTCAGTACAGAAGGAATATGAGGGCCCTGCTCATGGCGCTTACAATCTAAAGGAAGGGAGAAATTTCTCCACTGTTAACTGCTTCCATTCATAGGAATGAGCATAACTTGAATCTGGGTTCGTGGCTATGAATTGTTGGGCACAGAGGTTGCACTGGTCCACAACTGAATTTAGCAAGTAATCAGTAAAAATTAAATTAAAAAAAAAAAAAAAAAAATCAATGGGGGCAAAATTTTCTGTGTTCACCTGGACTCCTGGCTGGGCAGTAAAAGGGGGGATGTTAGCTGCTCCAGAGTTAGGGGAAAGTCATAGTGGGTTTTGAAAGGCATATGGAAGAGCGGCATGGGTCCTAACCCTTTGGGGCTCAGGTGACACCCTACTAGTACCTGGCCTTTCTTGAGGTTCTCCATTTCTGGTGGAAGTCACTGGACTACTAATGGATGCCACTACGCTACTTGTGGTAGCCTGCTCCTTATCAGAATGCCTTCACTTTGGTGGGCACACTTCCCTCCTCCAATTCTGTAGGAGACCCACTGTTTAAAACGGGCTCGTAATCCAAACCTGAATCAGACTCAGAGAGCTCCCTGCTGCTTTCGTCTGTCATGGTTAGGATTTGGTAGGCCTCCTCACAGGAAAATAATTTTTTTAGACATACTGGGACAGATGTGGCTGCACTGCTGGGTGCTGACGGGGATGCACTGCTGGGGATGCGCTGATCGGGATACACTGATGGGTGCTGATGTGAAGTGATGAGGTTGCACTAATGGGCAATGATGAGGTTGCACTGAAACGGTCATTGATGGGTGCTATTGAGGATCCACTGATAGGGTGGCACTGATGTGTACAAATAATTGGCACAGATGGTAACTGATGAGCACTGATGTGCACCAATAAGCTGCAGTGATAAAGCAGCACTGATAAGGCAGCACAGGTGGACACTGTTGAGCCTTCACTAATGGGCACCGATATGCATAGATGGGCACGGATATGCACAGATGTGCACTGATGAGTACACTCTGTTTGGAAACAGATTCTCTCTCCTTTCCTTACATTCGGTATTGGTGTGAGGAAAGGAGAGAGAAAACACACAGTCATGACCCTTCTGTGTTTACATTTGTGATCGCTCATCATTGGACAGAGCGATCACAAATGTAAACAGCCTCTTCAATTAGCCCTTCACCCCCCTCTTCGTGATGCGCTGCGTCCTAGGGACACAGCCATCACTTTCAATTTCCGATGCGCTCCGCCAGGGGCGCAATCACGGGGAGGACGTCATATGATGCCCCAGAACTGGCCAGCCGCATTGAAGCCATCATATGGCTATCACCCGGCGCCAAGTGGTTAAATAATATGGACACAGTGAAACAGATGGAAATATATATATATTTTTTAATTTTTTTTTATAGTTTTTTTTTTTTATATAGTTAGTCAATATGTATTCCCCTCCATTCAACAATTAGGCTTCCAGATGGGTACTAAGGGTCCACTTCGGTGAAACAATACAATAATTACATGTTTCATGGGTATTCAACCCCACTTCTTCAGGTTCAAATAACTTTTATAACATAAAAATATATATAGGACTTACCAAGCTTCTTCTTGATGGCTTCCAATATCGAATCAGAATCTCTAAGCATGCAAGGTGTTGTTGTACAAATCTGAATATGGTACTTTCCTACTGGTTTTCTGTTAAACATAGTATAAAATGTGGCCACTTCATACACTCGCATAGCAGGCATCTGCAGGACTTCAGCTACCTGAAAAAACAGAAAAGGTAAAGCATAAAAAATGAAACGTCATATAACATTACTCACTTGTTCTGGAAATCCCTATCCTCATATTGATTAGTTGTTTCAAATTATTCGGCATAATTGAAGTTTTTATTTACACACACACACACACACACACACACACACACACACACACACACACACACACACACACACACTCTTAAAAAGGCATTCCATTAAATGTGCTTTTATGGTAAGAAGAGGCGTAACATAGGCAGGCTAATTTCTTATCAGAACTTGAAAGAATGCAAATATGCATTCAAAAACATGATAATTGCTGTTTGCACGAGTGCATTTTGCAATACATAAGCAAAACAAATAAAATAGAATGCAGTTTTTATAATTTACAATTTCTTTCTTTTCAGGTCATTGGGGCTGTCTATCCTGTGGAAACTGGCTTTTGTGCATTTCTCAGTCAGTCAGTGGGCCTATCCTATGGAGGTTCCATATCCTATTGGCAGCTTGCAAGTCTCACAAATGGCTTTGTACTAATCATATTTAGGTAGTTAAGTTTTTGCCAACCCTTGGAAGCCATTGCTCTGGGATGTCCCAATGCCTAAGAGATAGAAGATTTCTGCTGGGTCTTTCAATGAACGGAAGATAAAAATACAATTTTTTGGACTCACCATGAATACTTTTCTCTGAATTCATTGAAAGACACAGTAACCACCCCTCTGACTGTGAGGTCTGTGAATAGTTGTTGCTATATGTACTGCTGTGACTAAGTTACCTCTAGTTGATGGGGTTGGGGGTAATCACTACCAGGGACTACCTTTGGGCTATGCTTTTGTGCCTAATGTCCTACTCCTGAGTGTGGCCCTATAACTCAATCATCAAAGATTACAAATTAACACTTTGTTCTTTAACTACTTCCCTGTTGCCCTATAGCAGATATACTGCTACAGGGCAGCAGGGGTGCGCAAAGTCACGTATATATACACGTGATTTTGCATTTCCAGGTAGGGGGCCCGCGCCCTACCTGCGCTGCCATTCGCAGCCGTCAATCACCGGGTCCCGGCCGGTAATTACCCGCCGTCGCCCAGTAATTATTGAGCATCTCCGACGGGGAGGAAGGCTGTCTCTGTCGGCTTGGGCACACTGCTCTGGATAGCTGTGCACAGCACAGCCATGCAGAGCAGTCTGCTTACAGTGAAGCATACCCCCCCACCCCACCCCCTAGTAAATACACTCCCTACATATAGTTAACCCTTTGATCGCCCCTCATATTAACCTCTTCCTGCCCAGTGCCATTAGTACAGTGTCAGTTCTTTTTATTAGCACTCATCACTGTATTGGTGTCACTAGGGATGTCAGTGACACCAAGTCAGTACTCCCCAGTGTCAGAATGTCCATCACAGTCCTGCTAAAAGTCACTGATCCCTGCCATTACTAGTATAAAAAAAAAAATACCAGTACCATTTGTAAACGCTATAACTTTCACATAAACCAATTTATTTACACATATTGGGATTTTTTTTTTTCCGCAAAGCCATGTCGCAGAATACATTTTGGCATAGATTTAATTTTTATAAATTTTTTACTGGACATTTTTAATAGCTAAAAGTCTAAAATGTTGTTCTTTTCTCAAAATTGTCGGTCTTTTTCTTTTTTTTCTTTATAGCCCAAAAAATAAAAAAAAAAAAAACACACAGGCAATCAACTACCACTGAAAGAAAGCTCAATTCGTGGGGAAAAAAAAAAAAAAGGACGTAAATTTAATTTGGGTGCAGCGCTGCATGATCGCGCAATTGTCAGGTAAAGCAACGCAGAGCTGTAATGCAAAAAATGGCGTGGTCAGGAAGGGGGGTAAATCCTCGGGAAGGTAAGTGGTTAAAGTGCAAATGTTGTTTCTTCATTTTGGACAGAGTAAGGAAAGTTTATAATCCCTGCCAGTTTTTTTTCCCCATCTGTGTCCCATAGAGGGAATTTCCCTTCACTTTCTGCTCCATAGCCAAAACAGGAAGTGAGACAAAATCCCTCCAAAGCGTGGGAATCACAGGGTATCACCAGAACTACTAACTAGAAAACTCGGACGATTTCCCCCCTATTGCTGTTCTGGATAAGAGCACAGAAGATAAAGTGAGCGCTACAGGCAAGCTGCTGTGACACCAAAAAGGTACCAAAAAAACCTTCCAAAATCAGTAATGTATAAAATAGGTGCAGCGCTGAGATCAAAATCATAAAATATAGTGCAATAAATCCAACAGACTGCAAATTCAATCATAAGCTGAAATGAATAAATAAATGATTATATCACTATACCAAAATTAACTGTAAAGTGATAATAGTGCTTGTAAAGTGATAAAAAAAATGACATTTATAAGTCCATAAAGTGACAAAGTGAATGATAAATAATATACATGTAATACCTACCACTAAAGGTGGCTAATAGTGCTAATAAAGTGACAAAGTCCAAAAAGGAAAAGTGAAGATCCAATAGAGATCTCAGGGTATGGTGATCCACTTCCTATCTCCACTCATAAGGTGATGTGTCTGGTAATAGAAGAATTGCGCACTCACCAGATGCGCAATAATATCACGCATTTGAGAACACAAGTATCGCAATTGGTCAGCTGGATCCTCTTAAGGGTATGCACAACCTGGTCATCCCTGGTCAACCCTCTGGATCATCCATGGGCAGCAGCACCTCTATCCTCCTCCTTAATATAGCTCTGCCAAAGGTTTTTATGGCTCTCTTGTGAAATACAAACCCCCTTGTTCAGGAATGCTTGTGAAATACAATGGGTGTTGTGTATATACACGTGATTTTGTGCACAAGTTCCGCCGTGTAGCATTATATCTGCTATACGGCAGCGTGGAAGCGGTTAAAGAGTATATTTTGTTAACACACTGAGGAGTACCAAAGGTGAGGGGAGGAGAGGGGGCAGTCTAGTACTACCTACATTTACTGTCCTTGATTGCAGCTAGAACCAATCAAGGTGGTGAGGTATGAAAGATGAACTGAGAATTATATAAGATTCCCTGTAGGGACACAGTATTAAATGATTTTACCTTGTTCATAGCAGAGATAGGCAACCATCCATTTTGTCGTTGTGCCAAATCCAGCACTGGAATTACAGCTGCAGCTTTGTGACCTTCTGGGTAGTTGCCAACTATTGCTTCTATTCTCTTTTAAAAAAGAAAAAAAAAGTGTGTTAAAACATAAATCTCATCAGTGTTGTAGATGCTTGCAATGAAAAGCAAAGCAAATTTAGATGCAGGCTCTGCAGCCACTAATGGTGTTATATAAAAGGCAGAGCCTGTTCTGTTATATAACAGAAATGTCTCCTGTTAGCAAACACAATGTACCTTGTAATTTTCTGGAGTGAAGTCAAAGGGTGTATCTGGGTTGTTCTCAGGGGTATCTCTGTGCTGCAGAAACACAAATGAAAACATCAGAAGCCGGATACAGAATTACATATATATCCACAACTTGCCACGAAAACTACTGTGCGCTTTCCTCTTTATACTGAAAGGTTTAATTTTTTTTTGAATATGATAAAAATGCTAAAATGTATACTTAAATGACCGTTAATCTAGCACAGGCATATCACATATACCACAAAGTTGAGAAGAAAAGGGAATGCTTTACATATGTAAACATCACGGTTTCTAATTTAAACACACACACACACACACACACACACACACACACACACACACAATATTTGCCTAAAAGGGGTCAGTAGACTAAGAAGTGATATTTTAGATTTAGGTGAACTAAATTGGATTATATTCGTCCACTGCCTATTAGGTGAACTAAAGTGGGTTATATTCGTCCACTGCCTATTTTAGATCTCTTTGGAGATTCCTTTGTAAGATCTTCCCTCCCTATATCCCAAGTCGGTCACTGTGTCTGCTTCTGCCTGCCTTAGGTCCTGTGTTGGTCAGTGTCTATATGAACAAATGCAGCATGCTTTTGACTTCAGTTTGAGATGTTTCTTGAGCTCATTCAGAATTCACTGCAGGTACTGTTGACCAGCTTCAGCTACTTTTGCATTCACAAAGATTTGTATGAAGAGAGAAGGGGTTCTGATGCAAACAAATGCCCTTAGGGTTTTTACACTTCCAATGGTGCCTTCGGTATCGTGCCTCTGTGACATCAGCCAATAGCGTGCTTTAGCCCGCTGTCGACTGATTCGGGGTCACAGGAGAGCAAGTGGCACTTCTGTGATCCAGAAAGGAAGGATAGCCAAACTTTAGCAATACTTCTCTGTTAAAGGGTAACCTCAATTTTCTGGGGGAAAAAAAAAATATATAGCATATACAATTGCAACTCAAGTCATATTGTAATTAAATGTTATTAAAAATTACCTTTCCTTTTCAATCTGCAGCACTGTCATTTTCTGTAAAATGCAATGCAATATACCAACCTGAAGGCATTTTATACACAGATGGTGTACAGAACGCACCCTGAAAATGCCATTTCCTGCTTGTGTTATTGCCTTTCTGATTTTCCAAGAAGTCTGCACTAAGATACAAGTCAGATTTGTGTTATCCCCTGCAACAAACATGTAATTTTTGGTGAGATACTCACAAAAGGAAATCACATCTAAAAGGGTTGCAGACCCTGCCACTCTCCTCATTGGAGCCCTTCAGGTGCAGCAGCTGATTGATAAAGTCACTCCCATATAGATTCACTTTCACATGGACACATACAGACAGGTATTTCTTCAGCATAACAAAAAGGTAGCAATCTGCAACCAAGTCTGTTAAAAATCCTTGCACTGTACATAGATCAACCTGCTTTTTCTCCATTAAAGTGGAGTTACTCTTTAAGGCCTCATTCACACATATACATTTCAACACACGTGCACTGGTCATCTATGGTTTTTAAAGGCAATAGTTACACATCTGTGTGACTAAAAAAAAAAAAAAAAAAAAAAAAAAAAAAAAAAATCCATGTCCATTTTTTAATGGGCCAGTGCGTACTGTAGGGCTTTATTGATGGAAATGGTAGAAAATGGAAATATACTGCTCAAAAAAATTAAAGGGACACTTTTTAATCAGAGTATAGCATCAAGTTAATTAAACTGCTGGGATATTGATCTGGTCAGTAAAGTAGTAGAGGGGTTGTTAGACGGTTTCAGCTGCTTTGGTTTTAATTAAATTAACAGGTGCACTAGATAAGCAACAATGAGATGACCCCCAAAACAGGAATGCCTTTACAGGCAGAGGCCACTGACATTTTATCCCTACTCATCTTTTCTGTTTTTCACTAGTTTTGCATTTGGCTAGGGTCAGTGTCACTACTGGTAGCCTGAGGCGATACCTGGACCCTACAGAGGTTGCACAGGCAGTCCAACTCCTCCAGGATGGCATATCAATAAGTGCCATTGCCAGAAGGTTTGCGGTGTCTCCCAGCACAGTCTCAAAAGCATGGAGCAGATTCCAGGAGACAGGTAGTTACTCTAGGAGAGCTGGAGGCTGTAGAAGGTCCTTAACCTATCAGCAGGACCGGTTGTGCAAGGAGGAACAGGATGAGCATGGCCAGAGCCCTAACAAATTACCTTCAGCAGGCAACTGGTGAAAATGTCTCTGACCAAACAATCAGAAACAGACTTCATGAGGGTGGCCTGAGGGCCCAACATCCTGTAGTGGGTCCTGTGCTCACTGCCTGGCACCATAGAGCTTGATTGGCATTTGCCACTGAAAACCAGAATTGGCCACTGGCGCCCTGTGCTTTTCACAGATGAGAGCATGTTCAGCCTAAGCACGTGACAGACGTGAAAGGGTCTGGAGAAGCCGTGGAGAACATTATGCTGCGTAACATCATTCAGGATGAACGTTTTGGTGGTGGGTCAGTGATGGTCTGGGGAGGCATATCCATGGAGGGATGCACAGACCTCTACTTGCTAGACAATGGCACCCTGATTGCCATTAGGTATCGGGATGAAATCCTTGGACCCACTGTCAAACCCTATGCTGGTGCAATGGCTCCTGAGTTTCTCCTGGTGTATGACAATGCCCGGCTTCATGTGGTAAGAGTACGCAGGCAGTTCCTGGAGGATGAAGGAATTGAATGGCCCCCACTCTCGCCTGACCTAAATCCAATAGAACACCTCTGGGATATCATGTTTGGGTCCTTCTGACGCCGCCAGGTTGTACCTCAGACTGTGCAGGAGCTCAGTGATGCCCTGGTCCAGATCTGGGAGGAAATACCCCGGGACACCATCCGTAATCCTTATAGGAGCATGCCCCGACATTGTCAGGCATGCATACAAGCATGTGGGGGCCATTCAAACTACTAACTACCATTCTAAGTTGCTGCAATGAATTTCAGCAAAATGAACTAGCCTGCTGCATCAATTTTTCACTTTGATTTTGGAGTGTCTTTGAATTCAGTCCTCTGTAGGTTGATAATTTTTATTTCCAAAACATATTACCCAGTCCATATTAGTATAGATATCCAACATTATATTTTTTCCCCATTGAGATCTTATGTGTTCCTTTAATTTCTTTGAGCAGTGTACATGTGACAATACACAAAGAAACTTTCCAAACACGAAGTCACACACATGATGATGGCATGCGTAGTGGAATTTATTCTGCCAGCCCAGAGTTCCCCCATCTACAGACAGCTCCACACTATTGCATTTCACTCTTGCAGGCTCAAGTGTAGCAAGAAGAGGTGGGCCTCCTTTGGTCTGTACTTCATGTGCCTGGGCCCAAGACAGGAAAATCGATTGGTGTCACACTGCGGTGACTTTCTTGAAGAAATGCACACAAAGTAAATTAGAATAAACCAAATCAAAACTTGTGAATGCCTTAAAGCAGGGTATATGGGTCTGTCACATACATGGACAAAATTTTAGCTGAAACACATTTCAGAAGCTTTATTGTATGTATATTATATTATTACTATACAGAATTTACATAGCGCCAACAGTTTACAATATAAAGGGGGACTGTACAATTACAACACAGTTCAATACAGATGAGCTGATGGAGGTGGGGTAGGCTTCCCTGAATACATTTTCAACGATTGCCTAAAGGTGCACAGGGTAGCAGCTGACCAGACATAATGGGGGTAGGAGTTCTAGAAGATGGGAGAGGTTCTGGAGGAGAGCATGGGATGAGGTAACAAGGGAGCTAGATAGCAAGATGACTTGGGAAGAGTAGCAAGGACGAATTGGTGACATCTGTAGATGAGGTTGTTAAAGCGGAGTTCCAGGCATTTTTGTGTTTCTTAAAAGTCAGCAACTACAAAAACTGTAGCTGCTGACTTTTAAGAAAAAAACACACACCTGTCCCGGAGTCCAGCGATGTTCTCACCAGAGCTGTCCCTTCTCCCCTTCTCTCCTCCATGTCAATTGCGCCGGCATGTCAACTGCGGGCACCAGGCTGTGACAGCTTGAGGGTTCACAGCCAGGTGCCTACTGCGCATGCACCAGTCACGCTGTGCCTCCTAATTGGTCCGGCAGTCTAATAGGACCTGTGAAAGTTCCCAGGAGACAGCGGGAGGGAGGACGGGGGGCGAACGTCTGGCGCACTTAGCCGCGGCAAACTGAGCCAGAAGTGGGAGTGGTTACCTGTCAAAAACAGGTGTCCACTTCCCCCTCCCCCCCAAAAGGTGCCAAATATGGCAGTGGAGGGGAGCAGGAGGCAAATAAGTGGAGCTTCCGCTTTTGAGTCGAACTCCGCTTTAATGTAGCTGGAAGCAGGGTTTCTGTGATGGACATCACTGCATGGGCTCAGGAATGCTATCAAAGATTACTTTGTGAACACAGTTCACCATGCTATCCAAAAATGCAAGGTAAGGTTCTATCATGCAAAGAACCTATATTATCCAGAAACAGTACATTTTCTCAGTTTAACAGCCTCCTGGTAGGCCTATTGCGCGCAGCTGTGCTACAGCACGATCTGTCATAGGATTTATATGACAGATTATTATAGCGGCCCGTTGCCAATACCATGTGATCGCTGTGACCAATCACAGCAGATCACATGACAATTGTAAACAGTGAATGACTGATTCATGCTATTCACTGTGTACAATTGTGTTGCTAGCTGTGATTGGTCACAGTGATCACATGGTACAGCAGTGAAATTCACTGCTATACACAATCGTAAATGTGTAAACAAAACAAAAAAAACACCACAACACAGAAAATCCAGATCACTTCCTCAGAGTAGTACAAATGTTACTATGTTAAACATATTGCTCTGGTCACAGTGTGGTTAAAAAAAAAAAAAAAAAAAAAAAAACCACCACAAAAAAACCTGATTTTTTTATTTATTTCACTATTTTCTAAGAAATTCTGACAAAAAACTCGCCATGCCTCCTACTAAATTACCTTGTACTGTCCACTTTCCAAAAAGGGATCATTTGGGGGATATTTGTACTGTCCTGGCATTTTTGGGCCTCAAGAAATGAGACAGGCCTTCAGTACATC